GCCCGCTGCTACTCGACGAGTCATAGCGCCAACTCGTCGAGTAGACCTTAAACATGAAGTCTAAATGGAAAAAAATTAATAATACCTGACGGTTGGGATGTTACACAACTAAACCAAATCAAGAAGAATCAAAGGCAAGAATGTCAAAGCGCCACCGTCATCAGATCAAGTAAGCAAGCAAGCTCAACAAAAACCTGAAGTAAATCCCTTATTTCAACACTTCGAAACCCTAATGACATTTTAAAAACTCTATAAGGTTCTTATGAAATATTTCAATATCCTTAACCTCTATATCTTTGTGCATCTAAACTAAGGATATGGAGTGAGAACCTTGTTACTAAAAATATTTAAATTGCAAGGGTTATACCAAGGCCAATGTACAATGAATGAGCAACATTCTAGTGAACCCAATATGCAAAAACCAATTTAAGAAAACAATCGTAGTACGAATGAATCTAACTAGGGTTTATCGATTGTTTTTATGTGTGGCTTCATGAGTATTAGTGTTTTGGTTATTTTGATATTCTTTAAATCTACACACATATTTGGCATTACCCTAATTAGTTGAATGACATGGAATATGTTTAGGTTCTTGTATCATTTTGTATTGTTTTGGTACGAGGAATGAAAATGAAAGGAAATTACATGAGTGTTGAAAATATATTACATAATGTCATATAAAAATACATAAAATATGTTACATAGTTCAGCAAAGGACTTGCGAAGTTTGCAGCAAACTAACCTAAGAATGAGCATCAAACCGGTAACATCATGTGTCACCGGTTAAATGCTTATTTATGCAACAATGTTTCATTCTTTTGTCAATTTATACAACAATGTTTTAGAGACTTTAACAATTTATACAACCGATACAAATTATGCAACCACATCTTAACCTGCTAAACCAGTTATATTAAAATTTCCTAAAGTACAACATGGTTGCATATTTCATCTAAAAAACACTTAATTGCATAAATTAGGAAAAAAAAGGAAACATGGTGATATGAACAAGCATTTAACCCAATACAAATATTACCAATATTGATAGTGTTCATCTTTTTTCCAAAAAAAAAAATGAAAGTACTACCAAAAGTTTTATGAATGTCAATGTCATAAGGTTGCACAATACAAAGCTTCAACATTTATTTCCTAGTGGTTAATAATCGTACGCGTCAATGCGTCATAACCCATCTTAAAGATCCGAATCAACGAATATCTGAAACACATTAAAAAAGGTGTAATCAGAAGGATTGTCATTGTCAAATCAAATCGACAATGTGCATAGATATTTTATTAATAATACATTAACTATTAAACTGACCTCTACATCCGCCAATGGTTCAAGAGTTTTCTTCTCAATCGTATCAAATACTGTAATGCCACTAATTTTCTGCACTCCATGTCTGGCAGATATCAGATTCTGCACAAAAAACAAGTGACTCCAAGAATCAGATTTAACAAAATGGTGCATATGTATCATAAACTCGAGATCCTGTTTCTTTTTTTGATTATTAGTCTGTGTAAATAAATAATGTTTAAATGATATTTACCAGTTGAAACTCGAGGGATTCAAATGCCTCCACCTCAGGTAAATTCTACATGATGAATTAGAATTTGATTATTAGTCTATGAGATCAAGAATGACGCCTAATATACAAGTGTGTATTATATTAAGGTGGAGTAGTTTAAGTATAAGAAGTTGGGAAAAAGTGAAGGGGTTTAGTTGCAATAAAGGTAAAGTCAAGGTGTAGTTATGTAACCATCATTTGAAGTCCGCTAATCATAACATCCTTTTCTTCTTTTGAATCATTTAGTGATAATATTGAAACTTCAAAAGGCCCAAGCTTCTTCCCAATCAGGTTTGTGAGGCTCAAGTGTACCTATAAATGAATTAAAACGTCTGAATGGTGGTAAATGACCATTTTACCCTCTCTCTTTTGATGAAAAATGATGGTTTGACAGATGTTCTAATCGGAAGTTTAAAATGGCTAAAACATCGTCAACTTCTGGATTGAAGTGAATAAAAATTAACACTTACAGTAAAGGGTTTTTCTAACATGATGACAGGTGGCACTTGCACTGCTCTTAAATCAATCTCTTTGCGCATGGTGGCCTATAAAAGAGTCATCACACCATTAATAATAACCCATAAAACAACCTACCAACATTTTTTTACCAATAACAGCAATGTGTAAAGCCTGAAACTTGTAAAGTGTATTTTACTTTTCCCCATAATAGTGTCTTACTTACCTTTCTTTACTCAAAAAAGAAAATATACTTACATTTCTTGCATGTATTTTACGAGTTTCACATTTTATATTGCTATTAAAAGCGACTTTGGTTGACTTACATTACCAATTATCTGTTGTGTTTGCAGGCGTCCAGGTTCACCCAAATTTGTACGCCATGTAATCTGGAGTTTACCAAGTACATTATTCCCTTCGCCTTTTGATGGTGTAGATGACATTTTCAATGCATAAAGATAGTTGTAAATACCTCCTCCTGATCTAATAAGAACGGGTGGCTTAAATATCTCTCTGTTACACCAACAGTAAAATTCAAAACTTACTTTAAAATCATGTCACGTAATTCAGAATTCCTTCATAAAATTTGGTATCATTGGGATACTTAATAATTTTATTTGTTACATCACCTAGTAAAACCACCCTTTTCGGAATGATGAACATCAGCTTTAAGTATGGTTGCACTCCATCTTGAAGCAGGCTCAAATTCCACTTGATCCATAAACAGATTTGATTTTGTATTATTTTCTAGGCAAGTTTCCAAAAAAGTAGTATCCTGTAATGAAAAAAGCATGTAAAATGGAAAGGAAAAATTAATTTGTAAAAAGATAACTAGGAAACAAACTCTCATTTCCCTGACTTTTTTTTTTATTATTGAGTCCTTCTTTATGCATTAAGTCAAAAAGAAACAGTCATATTAAGCTTACCAAAATAATCAGTGTCAACCTACCTTCACAACACGGACCTGCACAAGAAGGTACACAATCATTGAAGGGTAGAGTGAAATTACTTATACGCCCTTATTTAATAGAGTGGTACCTTTGTCCTAACAGAAAGTGGATTTGAAACCATGAACTTGAAATACTGTGGAAGATACTTGCGCTCAGCATCACCATCGTAGTACAGAGCAGTACAGACCAGTCTGAATGAAGATGGTGAATCATAATTTTACAAAATGTATGATAAGATAAAAGCAAAGCACAATTAGATATGAAATTATCGTTAAAATTAATTATATAGCGTATATGATTATGACCTACGTGTGTGCACCAAGCTCCTTCACATCATGTTCGACAATGAAATCATAGCGTCCTCCTGCTCGTATGCTTTCAACAGGTGCTTTTGTTGTATCTAAAAGCAGTATCCTCTGCCTTTCTGTTTGTATTTCTGACTGCAATCAGTCAATCGATCGATTTCAACAAAGAAAATAGCATTTGGACTAATCGCAATTGTAATTAATCAAATGAAAGTAAAAAAAAAAAAAAAAAAAAAAAAAAAGGAAATGTCACCTTGATTATTATATCCCTGACTTCAAAATTTGAGCTGTTGTTGATGCTTATATAACTACAAAACGTCTCGCCGAGATATATTGCCCTACAAACAACACATGTATTTACAGAAAAATCCATATTGTGCACTGATAGCGCAACAAAAATATGTGCACTGAGGAAGTGAGGATAATTACTCGATTCACAGAACGTTTGTGCGTGTGTGATGAAAATATGAATCTAACCCGAAGGACTGAGGGAGGACGAGGAGACCAGGTACGCCCATGGCGTCGGAATCATCGCGAAGGAGGAACCGGTTACGGTAGGTGAGATCGGCAGGTGAGGAGTCGAAGGAAGCTGAATTAACGCGGAGGAGGCGCGTATCGGCAGAGGGACTGTCGAACAGATCTTCGCCGACGACGAGATCGCAGGGATCGAACCGGAGAGGCGTTTCGACGTGGAACGTCGGCCGGCATAGCCGCATCACCCTGAACGCTAGTGAGTGTAACGACTGCGTGCTACTCATTTCGGAGACGACGGTTGATACGAAAGTGGAAGAGAATGTAAAATAGAGGGAACGAATGTGGGTGATAAAATACCACAGGGACCCAATTGTAAATACTTATTTTTAGATTTTAACTGCTTGATAGTTGATGACAACCTATCTATTTCAGTGCATTAGAATCGGTGGGTCCATCGAGATACTCGGATCCGGATCAAAGAATTAAATACGAAAAGAGCTCGATCTCTATTTTCGAACCGGTGGGTCCATCGACATATATATTTTTTATATTTAAATATAACACTTGTTTAATCTATTTTTTAATATTATTTTTATTTTTTATAAACGTTTAAAATATCATTTTTCGCTAGATCCTTAATTTTAATATTTGTAAATATTTTATGATTATTATAAATCATTATACTTTTTATAAATCTAGTTTAAAGTAACAACCATACCTTCACAAACTTTCAAAATCATGTGTACACTCTTAATTAAATTTTAATAAGTTAAAAACTATATATAACTTAACAGTCGTATATTCCTTTTTGAAACCACTCTTTTTAAGAAACAACAAGCCAAAGTTTTTGTATTCATATTCATTGATAATGAAAACCATATAAAACATTATTCACCGGACATTGTATTTCAAAAAATGATAGTTTAAAAAAAAACATATAAAAAGAACCTATTATTTTCACAAGTTTTTTTTACAAAGGCTCCGATAATGTCAAGCTACCGAAGTTTGTGATTAAAATAATAATTTGAGTAATATGATATGTTGAAAATTTATTAGATATACAAATGATATTTTAAACTTATATTTATAAGAAGTGTATGATAATCGATTGATTGAAATAATAATTTAAAAAATATTAAAAATAAAGATATAGACAAATCTAATATTTTAGAATTTTATTAAAAAATAAATTAAATGATTGAAAATTAAACCGAAGAAAAGTTAACGTTGATTTTTAAGAATAATAATATACGAAATTCTTCTTTCATGTTTGGGCTTTCCAAGTAACCCAGACCTTTGAATAGTCAATTGATATATTGAGGTTCATTTGACAGATTCAAATTTTCAAACCAAACATTAGATATCGTCATATCGATCTAGTAAATTTCCTTTATATCGGAGGATATTGTTGGTGATTTTAGTGTCACCATTTCATTTTAAGTAACTGGAACTAACATGTGAGCTAAGGGGCTTCATGATTTATACTCTAATATATGTACTGGGTTGTGCGGAGTGCACGCATGTATAAGATCGAATCAGAAGCCGGTTCGACGACTAGTCGGGGGTCCGGGGGCAGCGCCCCCGGGTCCGGGGTTTCCAAAGGGGCAACGCCCCTAGCGGGGTCCAAGGGGCAGAGCCCCTGGCTGGTAAAACTAACGAAACTCGTTAGTTTTGGTAACCCTAATCCGGATTAATATTACTTGCTTCCAAAGCAACTAATGATGGCCCAACCCTAATGAAACCCTAATCGTGTTTAATATATAAACAACTATTCCTTTCCAGAAGGGGGTGACATTCTTGAGCTCTCGTTTTTCATCACACATTCACAGAACCCTTTAGCATATTGGCTTACGTTTTCTGTGCCTAGAAACGTAAGTGTCCACTTGGATTATCCTAGGCTGAATTTCTTGTAACTCAGGCATAGGGTAGAAATATCAGTTCGGAAAGTGATATCACGATCCAAGTTGGTATCCAGATCTCCACTACAAACCCTAACCTAACCAACAGATATTTGAGTAGGGTGATGGTAGAGAACCGGATTTCTCTTATATCGTGTAAGTTTACTTTCCAAACTGATATTTCAACTATATGTCTGGGTTACAGAAAATTCAGTCAAGGATAATCTAAAATGACATTTGTATATCTAGGTACAAAAACACAAACGAAATCGTCACAATTGGAGATTTTGATCAGTATTATCAACCAATTAGAGATTTTGACTTTTGAAATTTATACCATTAACCCACTTAATTTAATTATATTTCATTTTCTCTTTTTAATTATATAAAACCTATATTTATTATTTTTTTTATTAGTTAATTTCTTCCCCTTCAATCTCCAATATTATTATACATTACTAATTTGAATTGAAAAATGAATAGTATATTTTTAAGTTTGAAACTTTGGCCACAAGAGTTTCATAGATTGACATGTTTAGTCCATATATAGAAAATAAGTTATAAAAAATCTCTCTGTAATTTATAGAAAAGGTCCATGTGCATTTTTTATACAAAAACAGTCCATATGTTTAAAAAATTTGTATATTGGCAGATTTGGTTTCTGTGTAGAAAATATACTACAAAAATTGTTCATATAATTACAGAAAAGGTCCTAGTGCATATTTTTTACAGACGCGGTCCATATTTTAAAAAAAATGGTCTGCACCTAATAGAAAATTTATATATTACACCTCCAACAAAATAAGTGTAATATCAGCCTAGTTAAATAATAATTCTTAACGATTATGTAATATATTTATCGGTTTTTATTTTATAACCATATGCAATATTTTTATATTTTATTTCTATAACAATGTTAAAATATGGACTTTAAATTTAGGAGTACTTATACTAATTTTGCTAATTGTATTATACTTATTTATTAATTTTTATTTTTATTTTTAATAATATTATATGATCTAGATGTGGGAGATTTCATAAATTACTTTATAAAAATAAGAATAAATTTATTAATTTAAAAATATTTTGAAATTTATCATTGATTAAAAAGTTATAATAACAACTTTTGTTAAATAAAAATCTATGATAGAGAAGAAAAACGTATCGAAAAAATAAAGGTTTTAAATAACATTATATTTGATTTGGCGGCAATGTCAAGTTTCGAGCTTTTATGAGTTATAACTCACCACGTTGTTTGTAAAGCGTGATTTAAATCGGCAAGCTTATATATATATATA